CTTGTTCCTAAGACCCCCAAAAGCATTCCAGATGAGCCCCCCACCCACCCCGGCCTTCATGTCTTCCAGCAAGGAGGTGATGCTCCACAACTACATCCCTGTTCTTCACACAGCACGCAGTTCTGTACCATTAGCTCCCGCCCAAATGCCCCACTGGGGCACAAAGCGAGCATGTAAGTTTCACAAATAAATTCAGCTGTACTCAAGAAAAACTGTGAGACCACTGTAAAACCCTTGGCCAACCTGTGAATAGGGCATGACCTAAAACCCATTCTGACACATTGGTCTTATCTGAATATTCTTCTCAATTGCGCAACAGTTAACATACTCCTGGGCTTTGGCCACTGTGTGACACAAGAGTGTTGGACCAGATGGGCCATTGGCCTGATCCAACATGGCTTCTCTTATTAGGAACTCAGCACACAAACCAGAAGAGCTCTAAGAGAAAGCCACTTTTACTTAAATAAATACATTAAATTGAATGGCCTCAAAAAATCTGCCTTTGTGCTCTTGACTCTGCCTAAGGCAATGCTAGCAAGGCACATGTGTCGAACCTCCTCCACAAAATGGCGCACATCACTAATCTGTATATGCACGGCTTTTTCAAGATTTACAATAATAATTTTTAGTAGTTTCGAAATAAAACATGCATCAACCAGAGCATCCCAGGAAAAAGATATAGGTATTATTTCTGAAGAATGTAACTGCTATACTCCTCCCTCCACCCACAAAAACCAAGGGTCAAAGGTGAGCCGCTGTTGACGAGGAACAAGGCATTAAAATCAGAGCAGTCCTCTCTCAAGTGCCAGAGCTGAGATTTAAACTCCTTCACACTTTGCAATTGTTCAGTCTGCAGTTCCGGTAGATTGGAGTAGCGCTAATGGCAAATTCATTTTATTCATTTCCCAAACCCCATTAAATTCCAAAAGCTGTAACAACCACTTGTCTAACTAAAGAACAGAGTACTCCTAAAGCTAGCAACAATACAGTTCCAGGCACTAAATCCTCTCAAATCCCCCCCCCCAAAGGACAATCTGCTGCTTTTTACCACCACCACCCCTTAAAATAAAGGAAGTTCTACACGCAAGCACTGAATACGATCACAATGGAATGATTAAAGCCCTGCATGGCTGGGGACCAGTTACCTGAAGGACCCTCTTCTCCCACATATTTCTACCTGGGAACTGAGATTACAGGGAGAGGTCCTCCTGACTGTCCCCATCAAAGAAGCTTGTTTGATGGACACACAAGAGAGAGTCTTATCAGCTGCAGCCCGAGGATTATGGAATAACCTTCCCAGGGAGGTGCACCTGGCCCCCTCACTTCGGAAGCGGCCAAAGATTTTTGGTTATGTCCTCAATAACGATTTTAAGTTTTAGGTTTTTATGATATTTTATGTACGTGGATAAGCTGCCTTGAGCTCCGTAAGGAAGAAAGGCAGCTGATAAAATGTTTAAAATAAAAAAAATCCCAAACAGCCACAGTTCCAGCAGCTGCAAGAAACCATCTTGAGTGAACGGCGCTGATCCGTCTAGGCACACCAATGAGGCATGCTACTTTTAAAATAGTGGTTACTAAGAGCTTCTTCCTTCCCCCGCCCTCACAACATTGCAAAGTTTAGCAACCATACAGTTCCAGGCACTAAATCCTCTCAAAACCCCCCCCCCAAAGGACAATCTGCTGCTTTTTACCACCACCACCCCTTAAAATAAAGGAAGTTCTACACGCAAGCACTGAATACGATCACAATGGAATGATTAAAGCCCTGCATGGCTGGGGACCAGTTACCTGAAGGACCCTCTTCTCCCACATATTTCTACCTGGGAACTGAGATTACAGGGAGAGGTCCTCCTGACTGTCCCCATCAAAGAAGCTTGTTTGATGGACACACAAGAGAGAGTCTTATCAGCTGCAGCCCGAGGATTATGGAATAACCTTCCCAGGGAGGTGCACCTGGCCCCCTCACTTCGGAAGCGGCCAAAGATTTTTGGTTATGTCCTCAATAACGATTTTAAGTTTTGGGTGATATTTTATGTATGTGGATAAGCTGCCTTGAGCTCCGTAAGGAAGAAAGGCAGCTGATAAATGTTTAAAATAAAAAATCCCAAACAGCCACAGTTCCAGCAGCTGCAAGAAACCACCTTTAGTGAACGGCGCTGATCCGTCTAGGCACACCAATGAGGCATGCTACTTTTAAAATAGTGGTTACTAAGAGCTTCTTCCTTCCCCCGCCCTCACAACATTGCAAAGTTTACTTCACATGGCAGTAAAGCTAATTTATGTCATTCCCCTTCCCCATTCTGCCTCTCATGTTCAGAATATACAGTGCCGCCCACCAGTATCACGACTGCTAAGTACTAAGCGCTGAAATGACAACGATTTCTGCTGTCGAAGAAGAGATGCTGCCAAACAGACACCGACAAACAATGCAGTGTCTCGCATAAGGAAGGTCAGTGCAATTATTCTTACCCAAATGATTCTGCCAGCACTTTAGACTGGCTTCTTCAACAAGGGGCTTCACCAGAGTGATGTCCACGTGGCCTCTCTCGTTGACAGGGAGGGATACTTTGAAGGACTCCTCCAGAACCTGCTTCTTGCTGTAGATTAGCTCTGTCCACACACGGTTCACGGCCTTTAAAAGAAGCTGGCGACCTAAGAAGTTAAAACATCACCACTGTGAGCCAACCCTGGCCATGTGGAGTGAGCAACAGCTGAGAGCGGAGCACGTTGCTCAGAGTAAATGACAACTGTTCAGACCCTTTTGACTTATTTTACATCAACGGACGTGGTTATGCACAACAGGGACTATTTTACTCCAAGATGCTGAAATGCCCTCACCTGGGTGGCCTAGGCTCGCCCAATCTCATCAGATCTCAGAAACTAAGTGTCAGGTTTCACCTGGAATCAACGGAGTCGCTTTCCATAGAAAAGGTTACTTTACTGAAGCCATGGATCACTGAACAGGTCTCTGATTGGAATAACATGAATCGACAGAGCAAGCAACATAAAGGAAATTCATAATCACTCTAGGCCAATGACTATGACTCCTGCCCTAGTGTCCAGAGCAGATCGACGCGCCAATTTCCTGAGAAAGCAACGGTCTCTTGTTATCAGTAGCTAGCAGTTCACATAGTCTCTACTAATTAAAACAAAGCTGAGAAACTCCGTATCTCGCACCTGTTGTCCTTGAAAGAAATGTGTTTCACTAACAAGCAGATTCATTGTAGCTTCTAAGCATGCGCAAGAATTTCTACACCACTCGCAAGCATGTACACATAGGGAACATCAGGAGAACTACAGGAGGGGGGAGGGGATATCATATAGACACTGAACAATACATTGGCATTTTGCTGACAAACGGACGTGGTTATGCACAACAGGGACTTTTGCTGGATTTTTTTTTACTCTAAGATGCTGAAATGCCCAGGCTTGCTATGCAGAGGCAGGCAATGTTAAACCACCTCTGAACATCTCTTGCCTCGAAAACTCGACAGGGTCGCCAGGGCTATTTTTGGGCAGGAACGCACAGGAACGGAGTTCCGGCTGGCTCCCGAGTTGGCCACGCCCAGCAGGAGCTCATTAGCATAATAGGCCACACCCAACACCAGAAAATCATTAGGATTGGCTACATTAGGGGTGTGTGGCCTAACATGCAAAGGAGTTCCTGCTACAAAAAAAGCTCTGGGTTTTGACAACAAACAAGGTAAACAGAATAAGAAGCAAAAGGTGGGTGTGGCTGGATAACCACACTTCTGGTAACATGTGGGTGTGGCCTAATGTGCTAATGAGCTGTGCTGTCAGGGGTGTGGCCCTATATGCTAATGAGTTCCTGCTGTTGGGTGTGGCCTATTATGCTAATGAGTTCCTGTTGGGCTTTTTCTACAAAAAGAGCCCTGAGGGTTGCTATAAGTCGGCTGCAACTTGACGGCACTGTATACACACGAACACACACGTGTTGACATACAGATTGCATGAACATGTGTCCCCTAGACTATGGCAGCATTCCTTGCTTCACTGGTCAGGCTGAAGTTTTACATGAAGCAGCGATGCTGCTGCTGGAAAATATATGCTTAGCAAAGCAAGTGGCTGTAACAGCAGCAAAAGGAGTAGGATCGCTTATGGCTCTCAGTCCTAACATTACTCAGAGGTATCACTTTAATAGCTTTTGAGCTGTTCTTACAAGGAACTCTTCATGGGAGGAAGACTACTGAGAAAATGCATGGAACGTCTTCAGTGATATGCTCCTAGATTGCCAATAGCCACTCATGAAATTTCTTCAGTGAAATAAGAATCAATTTCAAGCATTCAGGTATGGAGGCCTTAAAAAAAAACCTTTCTCTTTTAGGCCACGTAAATGTTAGCAGGAAGGATACTGGTTTGTTTTGAGCTGCAACTTCCGCATGCTTACAGGCAAAGCTGTGATGTAGATCAGTGGTTTCCAATCACCAGGACACTCTTTGCCACCATAGACAGGACAGGGGCTATCCCCACGCAAATGGTACGTGTTATCTAGCAGCACAGCATCACAGGCAGAAGGTTCTAGGGCACGTACTCCATTCATGCTAGGAGCTTGACAAACCGGTAGAACTTCAGCAGCGTGGACTTCCACACTGCTCCCAGCATGGCTCCTGTGCCTTACTTTGGCGCCCCATTCCACTCTGATTGCCTAGTAATCTGCCTGCATGACAGGCTCGTGGCTGGCAGTGCCAACCCCATTTTTAGATATTAACTTTCCGTCTGGGCTGCCCAAAAATAGCCCTGGTTAGCAGGGAGAATACTGGTTTGTTTTGAGCTGCAACTTCTGCATGCTTACATGCAAGGCTGTGATGTAGATCAGTGGTTTCCCATCAACAGGACACTCTTTGCCACCACAGACAGGACAGGGGCTATCCCCATGCAAATGGTACGTGTTATCTAGCAGCACAGCATCACAGGCAGAAGGTTCTAGGGCACGTACTCCATTCATGCTAGGAGCTTGACAAACCGGTAGAACTTCAGCAGCGTGGACTTCCACACTGCTCCCAGCATGGCTCCTGTGCCTTACTTTGGCGCCCCATTCCACTCTGATTGCCTAGTAATCTGCCTGCATGACAGGCTCGTGGCTGGCAGTGCCAACCCCATTTTTAGATATTAACTTTCCGTCTGGGTCAATTCTTTGTCCATTAAAATGCACAGCAGTAATAATGCAACGGCTTCATTCAATGCAACAACACGTATGCAGATCACACCCAATGCGAGGGAAATGAACATTTACAGTCGTGCTGGTAATTACTATATACAAAGAAACAGTATGAAATAGAGACACCCAGGCTCATAGTTCTTATTGGACATTCTGGTCTACAGTTCAACCAGCTTCCACTCTATCTTCCACTCGGTCAGGGAATCTAGCCATTTCATCACTGCATATTTGCCGAGCGGTACAGCAAGAGCCTCCAAGGTGGTGCCTGGCAACGGCTTTCCTGATGCCCACCAAGTGTTTTGAGAAAGTGGGTGGGGCCAAATGGGGCTCTTCGCCCAACAGGGTTTCTCACTGGCCACTGGACATCCAACTGGCTGGACAGATTAAAGTAACACTGTTTCAGTGGCAGCTGCCACCACAGTGCTGGTTCTATTCTCCTTCACAATGTAGTTTTTTAAAATTATCCCTCTTCACCCCTGCGCTTAGGTGTCATCCATGTGTGCGGTTCTGCCCCTTGCGACACCCCACCACCCTGTGCCGGAATCCCAAAGGTGACCGCAGGTGCAAAAAGACTGGGGGCTCCTGGGATACAGTGACCTCATCTTGCCACCACAGAAATCCCAGACCAATGGCTGGCTTTTGATTTTTAGCACATGTTCGGACTCTGTGCCAATCTAGTTCCCCCTCCCCCATGGATATACTGACTCACAGCAAGTAAACACAACTGATGCGGAGAGAAAAAACAACAACATACACCTTTCTACAAAGCCTACAATTTTTTTTAACTGTTTTACTTTGGAGCCAATACTGGGAACAAGGATGGAAATCGGGAGAGAGCTCAGTTGGTATACTTGGACAACTCCACTTTCTGAATGTTATCAGGCTTTCTTTTCCCTGTTTTAATCTTCTCTGCTGCTCAGTCGGAGGTTTGTTTATTCTTCCCTTTCAGCCTTCTGCATCTTAACTACTCACCTCAGTGCTTTTCAAAACACAGCTCTAATAAAACCATTCATTACGGTGAGTGAGCGCAGGGTCGATTGCTACTTGCCATGAGTGATGGGCCGGCTGGTTTCACTGGGCGACAGGGATTAGACCTAATCCTAATTATTCCTGACTGATGTTTACCAGGATCTTCTTACAGCAAAATGCAGCCTATAATCAGTGTGACTGGTTCATATATGAGATTATACCCTATTTACTGTCAATTAGACCTGACTAGACCTATATTGTAATAATATGGCCTTCAATGCAGCACATTCAATATAGCATTCTGGGTGTCTGCTCTGTTTACTATTTCTAATCTTCTCCTTTCCACTGCACCTAAAAAATTAAAACACGACAGACCGGGAAGGCAGTAGGAATGCACAAGAAATGCATGAACAGCTAATGGCATTGGCTGACACTGAAGACAAACAGCCCCTCTAGTTGCTTTATTGTGTGTTATTACCTTCGCTAACGTCTTGATTGTAGACTCCATCTGGCTCTATGTCAGAAGGGATCATGATGTGCCAAGTTGTCATTCTGGCTTCTGCTTCCAGGCCAAACCCATCTACGCTGCTGCAAATGTCATCCAACAAGAGTATAAGAAACAAAAAGAAGGTACTCGCTTGGGGGAAAAAAAGGTAAAGGGAAGGTGGCTGGGAAAGAAAGCAGATCGGCAGAAAGCAGACAAACAAAAAGATGTTATGCATTTTTGAAAAACAAGAAGAGGACCTGCAAGACTTGCAGAAGAAGGTAATTCATTTCTCCTGCTTCTAGTCCCCGTTTAGTACCCTTTTTGCTCAATTTACCCTTCCCACTGGTTCTGCTCCTTCACTGCCTGCCTCCCGTCTTCATGGCTGTCCACTTCCTCCCCATCACTGACTTCCCTTCCGCTTCATAGTGCAGTAAATGAGCACTGAAATATCATTAAGACTAGGGCTTTTTTTGTAGAAAAAGCCCAGCAGGAACTCATTAGCATAATAGGCCACACCCAACAGCAGAAACATATTAGCATATTAGGCCACACCCCTGATAGCACAGCTCATTGGCATATTAGGCCACACACCACATGTTACCAGAAGTGTGGTTATCCAGCCACACCCACCTTTTGCTTGTTATTCTGTTTACCTTGTTTGTTGTCAAAACCCTGGGCCTTTTTTTGTAGCAGGAACTTCTTTGCATGTTAGGCCACACACCCCTAATGTAGCCAATCCTAATGAGTTTCTGCTGTTAGGTGTGGCCTATTCTGCTAATGAGTTCCTGCTGGGCGTGGCCAACTCAGGAGCCAGCCAAAACTCTGTTCCTGTGCGTTCCTGCCCAAAAATAGCCCTGAGACTACCTTCAAAGGTCTTGGTTCAGACGGCCTAGATAGCCAATGCTGCCTGGTTGCCTCCGCAACTCAAAATGACTACCAGATTTCATGGGATAATTTTACAAGATTCTTGGCACATTTTTTTAATATTTATTTTCTCTCCTCCCCATTTTTTTTTGTTGTCAAATTGAAGATTCTCCTGGAAACCCAGGCTTGCAAAGACATCTTCCCCTGTCCTTACCTGGCCCAACTGTGAGATTTTTTTGAGCCAAGACTACCTTCAAAGGTTCAGAATTAGGTATGATTCCACATGTTTTATCTGGCTATTTTAAACCCTCACGGACACACACTGAGACTAACCAGTAAGTGGGGTAAGGTACTATACTAATCTGTGGTATCGCTCTCTAAGAATTCACTGACACCTTCGCCAATGCTGAAAAATTCACCACAGACTTGGATTCATCTGCTTTGGGGGTGGGAAAGGCAGAGAAGCTTCATGTATGTTGGAGGAATGATCCAGCCATCAGATAAACTACATCATAACTGGCAGGCAGTTATGGAATACGAACAGACAGTTATGGAGTCCTTCCAAAAACTGCCTGTTTTGTTGTCCTTATAGGTGGCTCCACAGTATACAGCTCATCAACAGACCTTCTGCCCACCAGAGGGCTCTCTCCCTCTTCACCATCACTAGGACAGAGCCCTTACCGACGTGAACAATCTATTGCCTGATAAAACTTTAGGGATAATATTACTTTAAAGGGGGGTATTGGATTTTTGGATACTTCCCATCCTCCCTAAAAATTACACACAGGGGGAAAAAATTATAATCATGTCAGGAAGAAAGCTATAAACCCACCTAGTCTTGTGTGTACAGTGAATTTATATGAGTAAAATACGGTCAGAGCTATGTTAGTCGATTGCAGAGAAAATAAGCTCAAACACAAACATTTTGCCTAGTACAGGGGTGGCCAAACTGCGGCTCGGGAGCCATGTGCGGCTCTTTCATACATATCCTGTGGCTCCTGGCAGGGCGGCTGGGGAAGTGGAGGCATGCCTCCCTGATAGGGTTGCCAAGTGGATGTTCGCTGGGAGCGGGGGGCTCCTGGCCGGCATCTGGTCCGCACGCACTTCACCTAGAAGTGACGGGAGGACGCCAGGCACGCTGGGGGCGGGGCCACGGCCATACAAGGGAAAAACATAGAGTTTTCCCTTGGATGGCCGTGGCCCCGCCCCCAGCGTGCCTGGAGTCCTTCCGTCACTTCCAGGTGATGCGTACGTCGGGGCGGAGTTCCCCTCGGGGACCGATCTGGCACCGCCGGGGAACGGGCCTCCAGGGTGGGGGGTTTCCCCGCCCCCCGGGGGGACTTGGGATCCCTACTCCCTGATCAGTCTTCCCTTCCCTAGCCAGTGTTCCTTTTCCTGGGTAGGCTTGAAGTGGGGGAGGGGAGGCGGGGAGGCAGAGAAAGAAAGTAATTTTAACTTTAAATACATTCTCAAAGCCCCCCCCCCAGCCTACCAATACCATTGGACAAATAAATATCATTATCAACATCTGTTTTTACCCCTTTTGTTTTTATTTTTGGCAGTCTCATTTAATGTTAATAAAAAGCAAATTTATACATTTCCCAATAAAAACGTGTGTGTGATATTTGTTCGTGTCTTGTGGCTCTCAAACGTCTGATGTTTATTCTGTGGGGCTCTTATGTTAAGCAAGTTTGGCCACCCCTGGCCTAGTAAGGGCCCACGACACGCATCAGCTGAAGTAGGCTCTAGGCCATCATGCTGGAATGAGATCCTGTTAGTCTGTAGTACCATGTGGAAAGCAAGCTGCAGTCTACACACCACGGTACAGAAAGAGCTTAACACATAATAAACCACTCCTCTAGACCAGGCCTCAAGCTTTCTGCAGGGAGAAGGGCAAGAAACGGGTAACTGTGTCTCGGAAAACTCATTATACCTCCCCCTTGAGGTTAATTAGATTGCATATGTGGGGGAGAGGAACACTACAAGCATGGCAATTAATGTGTTTCTGCTCAGAAGTTTATTCATGTGGTCACAGTAATGCTATTCAAGCAGCAAAGCATGAATAAGTCACTCAGCATGGTTTTCCCATGATCCTTCTCCATTATTTACTTTCCAGGTTTGTTGCTGCCAGGGACAATTTGAAATTTTTCAAAAAATGCTGATCGGACTACATTAGAAAAGGGGGAAACGTTCATCTAAGGAGGCACCATTTGCAGAGAAGAGGGCCTGGCGCATGCCTGCCACGTAAGTGTGAATTCTGAAGGATGTCAGGCTCACACCACAAAACCCGTGAAGAACTCCCACTTTTGATCTCTCTTTTCACTCCAAACTGAGTTACTTTATGAGACGGCCTTTTAATAAGGAGCCATTTCCTTCAGGCTTTGTCCAAACACTGGTAAACAGCACAGACGAATAACTGAGTAAGTGCTGTTTATAAATCACAGCCCTGACCCGGATGGCTCAGGCTAATCCAGTCTTGTCAGATACTGGAAGCTAAGCAGGGCTGGCCCTGGCTAGTATTTGGATGGGAGACCACCAAGGAAGTCCGGGGTTGCAACGCAGGGAGAGAGATATGGCAAACCACCCCAGAACATCTCTTGCCTCGAAAACCCCATGAGGGGTTGCCATTCGTCAGCCATGACTTGAGGGCACTTTTTACAACTAGCACATAAATCACAGCCAAAGAGAAAAAGAAAGACAGGAAGCAAAAGACAGCACCATTGTCTTGCTCTTGATAATTCACTAAACCAACTGGTGTACGAGAAACACCTTCTGGGACGCTCACCTCCCTGCGTGCAGGTTAATCAAGCAATGAGCCAAGCAGCTGATGAACTCTTGGTCGTGGTTCCCGGGCCCCAGGATTAGGTTCCGATTGACAGTGAGCATCCTGAGCGAGTCGAGGAGAGCGACTTGCTGGGGAACAGTTTTGTGTGGCCTCGAGAACTGGTATAAGATGGTCCTATTCAGGCAGTGATAAACGGCATCGAGCGATAATCCCTGAGATCTCCTTTTCGACTAAACAAAAACGAACATGTTTAACAGTGACATTTATATACACAACCAAATATGCTTTAAAAAAAATACTACTGGTATTAATTCTGTCCACTCAGATTAAAGGCTTAACTGCCTAAAGATGTTTCCTAAAACGATGTGGCTTGAATCGTTAACTGCTAACACCACATTGTTGTCATTGAGGTGATCTTTTATAATGACTTACAGCAAGGAGAACAACGAAGGAGAGCATCAGACAGTTTTTGCCTCAAGAATTTAATTACAATATTCTGACTCATGTTATGAAGGAAAGGGGGGGGGGACTATCCAAAGAAGCTTAGGAGAAGAGACACACGGGTGTGTGTGTGTTCGTTTGTGCAATTTACTCATCGCCAAAACTGGGTTGTAATTGTCTGTTAACGTTTTAGGGAGTTCTCATGCCCCAACACTACATTGTTCATTGCCTGTATTATCCTGGCTTTCTTTCACTGTTCTCCAATTGTGTAATCCAGTTTATCGGTTGTATTATACTGCTCTTATATTGTTGTTCTCCAACTCTGTGATCCAGTTTTATTGCATTGTTTATTTGTATGCATTTACTGGTCTTTATTACAAACAGATATTTATACTTTTGAGGCACTCCAAAGGGATCTGTCGAGGATGGGTGAGTGGACATCAACAAGGCAAATGGGGTTCAATGTGGCCAAGTGCAAAGTGATGCACATTGGAGCAAAAAATCCTGACTATCAATACGCGTTGATGGGGACCGAACTGGCAGAGACTGACCAAGAGAGAGATCTTGGAGTCATAGTAGATAACTCACTGAAAATGTCGAGGCAGTGTGCAACTGCAATAAAAAAGGCCAATGCTATGCTGGGGATTATTAGGAAGGGTATTGAAAACAGATCAGCCAATATCATAATGCCCCTATATAAATCAATGGTGCGACCTCATTTGGAATACTGTGTACAGTTCTGGTCACCACACCTTAAAAAGGATATTGTAGCTTTGAAAAAAGTGCAGAAAAGGGCAACTCGAATGATAAAAGGGTTGGAACACTTTCCCTATGAGGAAAGGTTAAAAAGGGGGGGGGGTCAATAGTGTCAGGGCTCCTAGTGTCCTGGCCCCACTGCTGGACCTCCTGATGGCACCTGGTATTTTGGGTCACTGTGTGACAGAGTGTTGTACTGGATGGGCCACTGGCCTGATCCAACATTGGCTTCTCTTATGTTCTTATACTTCAGTTGTTGTAGATTTTCCAGGCTGTATGGCTGTGGTCTTGGCATTGTAGGACCTGATGTTTCGCCAGTAGCTGTGACTGGCATCCTCAGAGGTATAACACAGAAAGATGGAGTACTCTCTGTGTCAATGTGAGAAGAAAAATAGTAGGCAGGTAATTTATATCTACTCAGGAAGGTGGAGTAGGGCTGAGTCATTATCTTGTAAGAGTTTCCCAGGTTGTAACATGCTAATGGAGGAGCTTTCCTGAGGAGGTTCTTTTGCATATGGAATTTGTGAAGTAAAATAAAATACTATAGCAATTGGTCGCAAAGAAATTAGTCAACAGTGCCAAATACTTTGGACACTAAGAGTCAGTTTGGTGAAGTGGTTAAGAGTGGCTTCTAATCTGGAGAACCGGGCTCGATTTCCCACTTCTCCAAATGAAGTCAGCTGGGGTGACCTTGGGCCAGTCACAATTCTTTCAGAGCTCTCTCAGCCTCAAAAAACAAATCTCCTGGCTATTCGCCACACATTGACATACAATATATATATATTTTAACTTTTGGCACTTTCACACACACTAATACCGTGCTTTCAATGCACTTTGCAACCAGGTTTTACTGTGTGAAATGGCAAAATCCACTTGTAAATGGTCACAGAAGTGGATTGAAACTGCATTATTCAGCATGTGTGAAAGTGCCCTTCATTTTCTCTGTGTGTGTCAAATGGCTCAAAATTTAAGAAGAGAAGAAGAAGAGATTGGATTTATACCCAGCCCTTCACTTGGAGTCTCAGAGCGGCTTACAAACTCCTTTCCCTTCCCCTCCCCACGACAGACACCCTGTGAGGTGGGTGGGGCTGAGAGAGCTCTGACACAAACTGCTCTTTTTCAAGGACAGCTGTGCCAGAGCTTGTGACTGACCCAAGGTCACATCAGCAGGTGCAAGTGGAGAAGTGGGTCAGCATGTGTGAAAGTGCCCTTCATTTTTGTGTGTGTGTCAAATGGCTCAAAATTTAATCTCCATAGTATTTCATTTCAGCTACATGAAATGAACATGAAATACTCTCATCTTCACTACATGAAATGAACATGAAATACTCTCATCATAATTTGATACACTGAGGTAGTCCAGTACAAAAAAAAGCACATTGGATGATTCCTGTACCAATCTATATCAACCATGTGTAGCAAACAACATGTAAGACTAGTAGATACCTGTGCAATTAACTGGATTATGAAATCTATCAGCAGCTTGGATTCCTTATTGAACATGCCTTGCCAAAGCTTATCCACCACTCGCTGTGTGAAATAGAACACGTTGTTGACAAGGACTTGGTAGCTTCCACCACTTGTAATAGGAAGAGACGCATCCTCACCTGAATTACAACAAGAACATTACAAGAATTTTAAAAGCCATTCATGTATATACAGAGAAGATCTAGTGAGGATAGCAAGCATTGAAAGGAATACACATAAAATCATATTTTTTGTTTTAACTAAATATTGCCCAAAAATTATTCGGCTACATCCAGACGTCATGACAAACTTCTCTTTGTCCATGACAGGCACAGACACACCTTGTTGTTGTGCCTGCGTGCTTCCTACCTTCTGTAAAGGATTAAGTATTATATGCCACTCCTTCTTTGTCCCATACATTAACTGTCACAGGAAGCTTTCTGGTTTTAAAAGCTTCCAGTCAAGGAACAATTTACCAAGATGTCTGAATGTAAACTTGTTTCCCCCTCAAAAATGGGGATTCAACTGAAATTTAGAACTCCAGTTAGTGGGGAGGAAGTAAACTTCCAGTTAGCCCAAGGCACCTATATTCAGAAATCATAGGGAACTGGAGATCAATTCAAGGCTATTGTAACCAGGAAGTTTCCAATCGTAACCAGGAAGCATCCAACTTCACTCCATTCCAAAGGCAAAGATGGTGAACAAGAATGAGTTGTATCTGCATCTGTCATGGACAAACAGAGATCTGACATGATGTCTCAATGCAGCCTTAACTTAAATTCATAGATGGACTACTTATAATAGTATCAATGGCATAGGGTAGGCTAGAAAGGAAATACACAAATTACTTTCCAGCAGAAGAATATCACATACGCATAAAAGAATCAGTGTTGAACCTCTCAAGTGAAGTAGGAAGGATGGACAGATACTCAACCCACCTACTTCCTGCTAAATCTCAGCTTAAATAAATAAATTATTCCAGCGAATTGACAGAGCACATTGATGGAATGGACAGAGCAGAGGTTTGCTGTTTCTGACTACAGAGGTTCCCTTTACCTACTGACGAACCTCTCCTCCATGAATCTAACCCCCTTTTGAAGCTGTCCGGGCTTGTGGCCATCACTGCACCAAATGGCAGTGAATTACACAATTTAATTATCCATTGAGAAAACAAGTTATTTCCTTTTGTCCGTCTTGAATCTATTGCTGCACAACTTCACTGAGTTCCGGCAAGTACCAGTATTCTGGGAGAAAGAGAAATTCTCTCAGTCCACTTTCTCTGCTCCATGTATAATTTTATAAACCTCTACCATGTCCCCACTCTCCATCTTTTTTTCTAAACCGACCGGTCCCCTTTTTGAGACCATGTCCCCACTCTCCATCTTTTTTTCTCAACCGACCGGTCCCAGACTCTTCAGCTCTCCCTCACAGTAAAGGTGCTCCAACCCCTTAATCACTTTGGTTGCTCTCTTCTGCACTCACCCTAGCTCTGCAATGTCCTTTTTGAAAAACTCAGAACAGTACTGTTTCAAAATTACCAAAGGGATAGCATTACAATAAGTGTTACCCAGTAAAACATCAGCAGCAAGCAAGTGGTCCATCACACTGTCCAAAATATAGGTCTGAAATTCTTTCTGCTGTGCCCTTGTTGATCTCTCAGGAGAGGCCTAGTAAATCAAGAATGGGTAATAAGAAAAGAGGATTAGAAGCTGCTTTAAGTTGCTGTAAAACCTTGCACTGTACTTCTGCCTCGAGCTCAAATTTTGCACTCAATGGTATCTACAATGAGACCCTTTTCTAACTTCCAAAGTAAAAGCATCACAGTTATGGTTTCCCTTAAAAATGGACAAATGCCTTGATGCAGTGGTTACTGATAAGCAAGTTAAGATGCTACTCGAGAAAGAAAGAAAAACATTTCCTAGGGAATCCTGATTTAAGTTTGCATTATGAATGGTTCATATACTATTATAACAGATGCCAGTGCAGTTTTTATGGTGAGTCCCTATGAACTGGAAGGGGGCACCATGAGTGAGTTAATGTGTGTGAAAGACATTCCCTCCCCCAGTGGTATCAAATCCCATCCATTTTGTGCAATACAGATGGGGCGGAGGAGCAAAGGAGCATATAAACAAGCAAGATATCCTTCTTTGTCACTCACAGAGTTCCTTGTTTTCTCCTTCTTGAGCTGCTTCAAAAGTCCAAACTACACATTACATATACCATGTGATCGCCCCAGGGATTTCATGGGTATTGATGGCTTGCACGTTCAGCACTCCCCCAAGAAGGGGCAAACTGCTCTCCCCCAGGGCCATTTTAAGTCAGAAATACACCACTGGAGGGAGGGAGGATCTATGGTCCCAATCCAATATGGGGCCCCGCAGCACTTCCAAACTGAGTCTAAACAGGGAATTCACAGCCGGCATCCTACTGCAAGCCCCTATGCCGATCTCGTGGTATGTGTTGCATGTAGTTTGGCCCAAAACTGCAAAGACAGCAAAGAACATTCATTTACACATCCCTCTGCCTTTTTCCTAGCTTCTCCTGCTCAGTCCCAAGATCCTTCAGAAACTACAGCAGGAAGAAGCAGGTGGACATACAGGAAGAAAGACACTTCTCTTCCTTGGTCACTCCTCCATCTTTCTCTCAAGCATTTTCTGGGATCTTTTAGAGGGAGGGCAGAGACTGGAAACTGACAGGCTATTTTGCTCCGGGCCAGGGGGCAGCAATATTTAACTCGAAGACTGACACTGGCCAAGCCTCGTGATACTTGCTTAATCAATATTCATCAATGAACAATGAACAAGAAAAGTATTCCTTATAACAAATACACTTTCTTTTAGGGAGCAATGAAAAGAGACCAACTCTACCTCTAGAAGGAGGTCTATCAATGGAGTCTGCTTGCTTGCAGGCGTAAGGCAGAGGTTATCAATTATCAGCACTTGCATGAAGTCAAACACAAACTTCTTTGCAGGATGGTTTGTCAGGTAGGTCTTGGACCCTACGTTGCAGTATTCTGACTGACTCCGGTTCATTCCTGTATCAGAGGCAAATGCTTTGAATTCTTCAGCTGGGGATCCAACGTCATCATCCAGATCAGTAACCTATTCAAAACAGGTAGCAGAAACACAATGATCAGTAATTTATTATAACTCAGCCTACCTTTGGTGAGGCAAGGAGGAAGGAGGAACTTTACAGCTATTTCCCTGCCTTGATATGCCGCTGCTATATATACACATTTTTCAGGACTGCTGCTCTCAATTCTCAACTACCTCTTGCTAGAGAGGAGGGATCTGTCATAGCACAGACTTTATTTTACTCCTTGAACAGTCTGCAAAAGTGGAATGCAAATCTAAAGACAGCAATTACTGGAATTATTTTATTCTCACTACATGCTGGAAGATAGTGACTTAACAAGGCCACTGACTGAACAGACATTTCAACCCAAATCTCTCTAGTCTGAGCCCAACCCTACACTAACTCTCAGTTCCTTCTTCATAAGGCACTCTCCACTTAGGGATCTGTGTGTCCCAGGTTACTGTTGAAAAGACAGAGCACAGCCTATGTTAAGAGGGAGAAGAGTAGGGAATACAAGCTGGTTTGTCACCATTATGATTAACCGGAGTAAGGGCGGGTAAAACATTGCAGAAATCAAGTGACACTCAGTTTCAGAATGCTGAATGTGAGTGACCGGATGCAAAAAGGGGACAGGGCCCCTGTACCTTTAACTGCAGTATAGGGAAGACTTTTCAGGTCTGGGTAGTGGGTGTGATGCAGGAGTAGGAAAAACAATCTCTCTTTGGCGACGGGAATGCACCTGCATTCTGCTCTTCTGCACCTGGAAACACCTACCATTGTACCATTGTACCACTTCTCGGGGGAGCTTTTCAGCTTCAGTTGGGTGAGGATGGAAGCATAACTGTCAGAACGCTTGCTTTCCACACACAAAGTATCAGGTTCAATCCCTGGGGACTCCAGTTAAAAAAGCATATTGCTTAGCAAGACTGGGAAAGATCTCAGCCTGAGATCCTGCACAGTCTTTGCCAGTCAGAATTTTCAGTAGTGGTTTAGACTGTAGAATACAGTCAGTAGTGGTTTAGACTGTAGAATACATTCGTATTCTCATCAGATCTATTTTTGTTCCCTTCTGGAAGTAAGCCAGTCTAGAACTATTAAGCAAACCCATCTAGAACTATTAAGTAAGCACTATTAAGTCAGCACTAACTTTAGTGGCACACTTACAACAGGGATTGCAGCCAAGACTAGCCAGTTTTATGGTACAATTAGGAAGTTTCATAATCAGCCCTGCACATAAAACTGTATCGCACAGACAAAAATCCCCCATACAATCAGAGCTTAACATCAAAATCCTCTTCCTTGGATTTATTTAACAAGCAGACATTTAATTGTGAGCCTGTTAAGGCTCTTTTTTAGATGATTGGTCATCATGTATTGTGTCATCACGTATGTGGCCTAGATAATGTTTAATTTTTCCTTAAATCTGAGATAAGATTTTGGCTAAAACCTGAAACAGCCAGGCTTTTTCCCTTAGAGAGTAAGTAACAAAGAGAAGTATCAAAGGCAGAGCTGTCAATACTGCTGCCCCTGACCTGCATTCTTGACATCTTCTAGCAACGCTTATCCTGCCTCCACTTAATTTGTTCTTTCTGTATTAGTTCTCAAGCTCCAGAAACGGATGATTTTTTAAATGACAGTTATGAAACCCCAGCTGTTGTCTTCAAAGCAATTTACAAGAAAGCAGTAATTTCAAAATTAGCCATTGTCCCCTTGCAATATAATTCAGCTGGTGAAAATTTAAGAGCTTTGTTACAAAGAAAGAATTGGAATCAATTTCCTCATTCTGTATATTTATTTAATTGAAATACTTTCAATCCCTCTCCTCCACCCACCTTCAAATAATCCTAACACCAATGCAAAAAGAAAAAAGAAAAAGATGCCAACGGTGTTTAAAAACAGGAAAATAACAAAAAACAAAAGCACACAGACACAATTAAAATAAGCAGCAGCATATCTGCAGAAATACTCAAGATTGTATCTCAAATTTGAGGAAAAGCTAAACATTTACCCAAGGCCAAATTCAGGATGACACAATAGTGTCTTGACCAGTCACCTGAAAAAGAGCAGAGACGCAACCCAATCGACCTCTGGATGCAGAGAATTCCACAGTATGGCTACTGCCACCATCAGCACGGAGCCATTTATGGGAGGTAGAAGAAAGAACAGGCCCTAATATCTAAGGATCTGAGAAGGCTCATACGGAAAACAGGTGACCCTTTAGCGAAACTAGTCCCAAAAAAATTAGTACTTTATAAAGGCCAAAACTAACACTTCGACCTGGATACAGAAACAGGATAAGAATGAGCGGAGAGAGGGTACAATATTTGAGTTCCGTGAACCAACAAATAGGCCTCTAAGCATAACTGCTGCATTCTACACCAGCTGAAATTCCAAAATGCTTTTGAAACAGTCTCACATACAGCATTTCACAGAAGAACGATCTGAAGATAACAAGGGTGGGCATAACTGTGCCCATATCAGTTTTCCTCCAAGAAAAGGGAAAATACTGTATTATTCTACCTTTATTTGCTAATACAGACAAACGTCAGCATTTTCATATCATTCCAAATCATGATGCCATATGTAAGGGAGAACTAAAAAGGCAAGCCAACCACCATCCCGCCCCCCCCTTACCATTTATGGAGTATGGCCGGATATTGAAAGGGAACACAGTGGCTGCCAGTGCACAAAGAAACTCTGGGCTCATCCACATTGAAGCCAGGTCAGGAACATTGTGATATAAGTAGCGAAAGAACTGCATCAAAGTGACTGGATATTCACGAAGCCAAGAACCCTCTTCTTCTGACTGCCAAGGCTGTGGAGAGAGAAAAAGTTTGGATGATGACTACTTTAGCTTACATTGCCCTAAAAGTAAGCGAGACGCAGTTCTGTGCGAGCAAAAGGCATTATGACAGCCATCTACTTATTACTTTTTTTACAATACTTTTGGTGAAGTGTTTTAAAGCTTGATCTCACTGGTTTTAGTAACTCCTTTGGCGTTTAGTCACATGGTCACATGACCACGGAGAAGTCTTCGGACAGCGCTGGCTCTTCGGCTTGGAAATGGAGATGAGCACCGCCCCCTAGAGTAGGATTCGACTAGCTTTCGAGCAAGGGAAACCTTTACCTTTACCTATGAAATAGGTCCAGTGGAATGATAGTGATTTGCTCGAACCCATCTGATAAACTGCATGAGTGACCAGGCTTCTTCCACCTCCAAACTCTAGCTCTCTATCAACTGCATGCAATGAACAAAGAATGGTAATTTTCCTGCTTAATGTTAATATTCATTGAGTTCAAAGCATACTCTAGGACTATACAAAAGGAGATTGTAGCTCTATAATGCCTCGCAAAGCATTTATTAATATTGGCTTCTTCATGCAATCATTCAGTCAGAGGAACCACACTGTGGAACGGTATGCTCACCGGATACTGAGAAAACCATCATATAAAAGATAATTAGTATTAATATAGTCCCCTAATGAAAGAACTCAGCACGGACAGAGGAAAGATTATGGCTGAATGAAGGAGCTGCGAACAGACCATAGTTTGCTTGGGATGAGAAAGAACCTAAAATCCTGGCATTCATGTGCCCTTTTATGCACTATGCTAAAATTGAGGATTTCCTGCTTTAGGAAACCTGCAATTTGCTGCAATGCCAAAAGGGAACTCTCCGAGAAACTTCAGTTGGTTTCTTGCTACAAACCAGTTTTAGCCCAGCTGTCTTGAAGACTCCAGATTCAGCTCAAGTTATGTTGAAGACTTCCAAAACCACAAATCCCTCAGTTTCGGTGTACTACACTGGCAGGCAAGGGGGAAAGGATTTCAGCCTCAATCTTGCCAGACTATATGTCGTTTTGTGATATCTGAATGCAGCTATTATGTCCATGTTCTCAAAAAAAATCCGCTTTCTTTTTTAGGAGGATGGTCCAGCGTTTCTCGGAGCAATTATCTGATATTTTTGCTTATGTTATTCTATTGTTGTTACATAATTAAGGCAAGACAGACATAAGTGTCACCCATGTCTGGAGGGGGAAATGCTTTGTGGACCTTAAGGGAAGCCATTCTCGAGTTTTCCACTGCAAAACTCAGTCAGTTACAAAAATGCAAAACACTCAGCCTCAGTTTCGGTGTACTACACTGGCAGGAAGCCATTCTTGAGTTTTTTTACTGCAAAACTCAGTCACTTACAAAAATGCAAAACACTCAGTTACAATTTAACCTATCGCTGGGCTCAGTTTAAGGTATTGGCTGTCACAGATAAAACCCTTCATGGCCTTGGCCCCTCTTATTTGTGAGACCGCCTGTCTCCCTATGTTCCCCCCATGACAACTTAGCTCAAGTCATCCGGGGTTTCTGCAGGTGCCGACCGGCAAATGGGAAAAATCAACAACTGCCCGTACATGTGGTTTCTCCGTTGTGGCTCCTGCCTTGTGGAACGGTTTGCCCGAGGAGGTCAAGAAAACTCCCACTCTCCTGGCTTTCTTCAAACTATGCAGAACTGAACTGTTCAAGAGGGCTTTTCTGTGCAGGTAATAAGAGTTGCACTGTACAAAATGGTTTTATAAACTTACTTTGATAAATTATTAGGGACTGAACCTATCCTGCTATGTATAGCTTATTCTAAGTAGGATCCTGTTTATGCAATTTCTGTACCGCTTAATGTGTCATGTGAATACTTCTGCAATGCTTCGGTTCTTTCAAGTGGTCCTAAAATCCTAATGCACTGGTACCTGAATGTCCCATTTGGTCCACTGTCCTGACTCACTATATGTAATCCATCTTCAGTCTCTGTGAAAAAGGCGTACTGTCAATCAACCAACTCAAATAGGGAATGAACTACCCAAACCACTTCCCTACTTACTGAATTCAACATGCTCCTCAGCATTCCCAGTAACAAGAAGGCAGCTTCTGTGCAAACACTGTGAATTGAAGAGACCACGGTGCCACTTGAAGCAGGAACACCGAAGATAAATGTCCAAATTGAATCCAAGTCAAACTATTCAATGGAGAGAAATAGGAGGGAGAGGAAGAAACAGAAGTCAACACATGATCTGCTTTCTCATGTCACTTTGCTATTTTGTTCATTTACAGGCATTTCACATGTAACTACACAGTATATCATGCATGTGCTTGATATTTTGATTTCATGATGCATTCATACAGATCTATTTGATGGCATTGGTGGGACAGGATATGCTCATTCACTCCATCACTTCTCTCCAAGCCTGAGGATCGGCTTATTACTAGGTATAAAATAAGCACTGTATTGACAGATCATTAGCTAAGAAATCAAGTGGATCATTAGCTAAGAAATCTCCCATGTCTGTCCCAAAGATGTAGGAATTATTATATCAAAATCCTCCTCCTTGGGTTTATTTAACAAGCAGACATTTAATTGTGAACCTGTTAAGAGTCTTTTTTAGATGATTGGTCGAGACTGTTGTGCCATCATGTATTTGGCCTAGATCTATCTGAGACCATACGAAAAAGAGCATTATCATCCTGGCACCGCGCTTTGTTTTGGAACAGGGGTCTCAAGCTGTGGTCACATTCACTAAATAATTCACTTTCAATCCATTTTCCAACTGGAATTTACTGTGTGAACTGGCAAAATCCAGTTGGAAAGTGCATTGGAAGTGGACTGAAAGTGGACTATTTAGTGTTTGTGACCGCATCCTCAGTTAAATGAATTTCCCATTTAATGCTCAATTGCCTACCCAGAAGCATGCAGTTTCCACACAGATGGCCCAATGAATAAGAGAAATAAAGTAGGAATCGCAATTGGTTTGGCTAACAGCCACCGATTATAGCCTGAAACCTTTTAATGTTCACTCATCACCGTTTGGCCCTGACCTGGAGGGCTGAGGCTAGCCCAATCTCAGAAGCTGAGCGGGGTCAGCCCTGGTTAGTACTCGGATGGGAGATGACCAAAGAAAAGTCCAGGGTCACTACGTGGAGGCAGGGAATAACAAACCATCTCTGTAACTTGAGGTCACTTTATATACACACAACCACCATTTCTCAACTGTGCAACACTGCTTCTGGTCTCAAAAGTAACATCTTACAGAATCATCCATTAACACATTCAAGCTGTGCAATCGAAAGGCTTTGGCGTGCTGAACACTTGACATGAATCAACACATCAAAGGGGATTTCTGATGAAGAATGCAGCCCAGTGGATGCTGAGAGTGAACTCTTCCATGGAATTCCGGGGGCCTACCAAGTGCATCATCTGTGCTCTGAACACTGCAGTAGTCCTTTCTTGGTGATCTGGCAATGCCATTGGGATGCACCAAGGCTTCTGAGCATACCTTAAGAAAAACCCTACATGAGATGGGATCTAGATGTACAAAGAAGGAAACGACTAAAAGAACCTACTGAACTCCTCCCTCCTTTCCAACAATACACAGACTTCAACCAAGAGCCCTTTAGAATTCAGCCATGCTGAAAATCAAAAAGGGGCTACAAATTTCAAAAACATTAAGGAACCTCTAGAAAAGTTTTAAGAAGGGGCTGCCCCACATATTTAAAAAGAAGTACAGTATCTTGGCTAAAACTCATTCCATTCTTTTCTTCCCAAGCAGCATATAGCACTGAGTAATGCATTCGTTTTCCATTTATAAAAGGTAAGACTGTTCTAAGGCAAAAAAACCACAACTTCTTGCAGTGACTACTGTGTACATTAACTATGGTGATCTCCACCAAGTTCAATGGAATTCTAGAAGGGCATAGGAGTCTATTAGCCTCAGCAGGCGACAGGGCAACAAAAAAAGTTCTGCAGGTGCTAGGGGTAGGGGGTTTCTCGAGTATGCAAAAATATTTAGATTATAAATTTAAGAAAAGATAAAGCCCCTAATAACATAGTATCCTGTGAAGGGGAGACCAGGACATGTTCACCGAGGCCCAAACCACAGCAAGTTAGAACTTTAAAACTGTGATATCTGGCTAGATTCAGGTGGATATAGCCGTGTTGGTCTGAAACAATAGAACAAAGTTTGAGTCCAGTGGCACTTTTAAGACCAAAATAGTTTAATTCTGTGTATAAGCTTTCACTTATACCCAGAATACCACTTTGCTGGTCTTAAAGGTGCCACTGGACTCAAACTTTGTGATATTTAGGGAGGAGGAAAAGACAGATATATTACCCAACTGTTCATTCCTTCCTTCCTTCTCTCCACTCTCCCTAACAATTCCTTGTAGAACTCCCAACTTGCTCACTGGCAGTTTTGATGGAGAGGAAAAGATACTACCACTTTAATACACCGTACCCTCAAAAGTATTATATTTCGGGGGAAATACGAGAATCCGTTTTGGAATGGAAAGCAGCCATTAACTCGAGTTTCCCCAAGACAGGGAAAGCTCCAATCACACACACCCCGCACCCATCGACACAGAGCAGAAATATCTTCAGCACAAAGTTTAGTTTTGAACCATCACTTTTTTTCTCGGCACGGTATTACGCTTAACAAAGTCGTTACCTTACTAAATAATCCCTACCTGGCAACCCTGATTACATCGGCTGGTGAGGACAGGTGCACTGACCTGCGGGTTTTCAGGCAGCTCAGTGACTGGCTGCTGCAGGAAAAGTGCCATTAGGAGAAAATAGAGCGCGGGGACGTTGGTGTGCTTAGGAAGAAAGGACTGAAGAACCGAGAAGCCCGGGAAATGACAGGCGTCCCGGTTAATTTCCCTGACAGTCGATCGGCCGCCTGCGCTCCTGCCAACGTTGAAGCCTGAGGGAGAAAAGGGAAACACAAAAGAGCCATAAAAAGGTGCTAGGTTAAGTCCTGTTTATAAGGTCACCGCTCAGGGGGATAAATGCTTCCTTGTCAACGTTCCAGATTAAGGCCAATACATAAAGGTGCTGCCTCAATTACTGAATGATTGTTGAAAACACCATTAGAGTATCTTTCTCAGTTCCAGGGGGAGACACCGTTGTAGCCTTTGTACTGAAACAAGTTTTACAACTGGAGAGCCTGTGGTTGCAGTTCTGCTATAACAATCAGGGACCTGATGCGGCTGCTTAATGTACAATGCGATAATATTTCAAACGCTTTGTTTTCCTCAATATATTCGGGGAGGGGGGAATCCTCCCACACGGTATTGCCTGTTTTCTCAGTACAATTCTATTGACAGAAAATATATTCAAAAATATATTCAAAGACATAACAGCAGCACTCCTCCACTGTGGTGTTGCTACAAAAGAGGCAGGGGATTTTTTTTTTTTTTAAGGCAAAATGGGAAAAGGATGGAGATAAATTACTGGAAAAGAAGTTTTATCTTGCCATTTGGTTGGAGTTACGGAGCTGCCATACAGGTGACTGGGATTTATTCTAATTTATCCTGTCTGAATGTTTAAGTGACCTTTAATCCTGATGCACTATGTATCCTACAAGAAACATTGCTTGAAAGACCGGCCAGGACAAAGAGCAACAGGTCACAAAGAATACCAAACATACATTCATTTGAGGGAAGAAAACCAGGCTTGGATCAGAGAATAGATTTCATTATTTGCCTGCTGCCTAGATGTTCTGTCACTGTGCAGAGAGCTATGCAAGGTAATGACGTTCAAGGCACGGCATTTTGTTTATGAAATGCTCACTGTGCTCAAGAAGTGACTGCATAATTGCATTGCTTAGCCCAAACAGCCCAGCTTGGTCCAAGCGCATCACGGCTTGCGAGCTAAGCAGGGTCGGCCACGGTCACTAGTTGGATGGGAGGCCACTACGCAGAGAGAGAGGCAATGGCAAACCCTCTCTGAACATCTCTTGCCTTCAACACTACTTGGCTGGGGTCGCCATGAGTTGGTTGAGACTGAATGGCACATTTTTCTTCTTCTTCTCAAGGCAGAGACAAGTTGTGGTGGAGGTGGGGGGTCGGGTTAAACTGCATCTTTTCAATACACTGAGCGTCTCATAGGCCTTTAAAGATGAAGTCTGAAAGGCCATTCCTGTTAAGCACGTCAATAATAGCAAAGTTGCCTGGATAAGCGAATAAGAAAGCCTGAGTGTGGTTCAAAAGCCTTGTTTCTCATTCTTATATTTAAAATAATTCTCCTGTGAGAATGTGGGTTAGTGACAGGGAAACAGGGCACTATAGCTTAAAAAAGGCATAGTGTTCCTATTTTTCGTAAAGCTATATAAGCTCAAATTATTTAAAACCAGTGCATCTAAATTCCAAATCCTGGACATGTTCACTACTTAGCTTTTGTTTTGTGTCATCCCTGATAAATAAGATCCTTACATTTAAAAAAAGGTATTGGTTTTACTGAACAGTATAATGCATACGCACACACAAAGTCAAAAGTTGCAATTAAATTATTTAGTTTTTACTGGAGATTTAAATTAGCATAGGGAGATTCATCTGTCTCCTTCTGTTGCTGTCTTCCACTAGCAGCAGAAGACTTTTTTGTTTCCTTCG